GAAAGAACCAGTTCTATCCCCTTTTGCGAATCCTGGTTATCTTGCTTGCTCCGAAAGGATCTTTCCTAAACCTGGGGATCATCTCTAACCTTGCCTTCATTGATTAGATCTTGTGGCTCCATCTGCTGACTTCTTTGGGTCTTCTCGATCCCTCCCTTCACATGACCACCTGCATTCAGAAAACGGTCTTTTTGATCTCCAACATCAGCCTTTAACCAAGGCCCATATCCATCAGAAATTTTTATTTGGTCTAGCTTATACGCTCTCAATCTATCTGACAACTCCTCCAGTACCTTCTGGTTTGGCTTTTCTACCCTGCAATTTTTTTCGACATGACCTAGGAGGCCACATCTGAAACAGAACACAGGGAGGTGCTCATACTAGAAGGGAAACCATTCTTCCCTGTTATCTACAAGCAGTCCTTTGGAGCCTGTTGCCAAGAGTTTCCTTATATCTACTCTCACCCTAACTCTTAGCCCCTTATTCCATTCATCCTTGCTTCTCCTTAGATTTCTTTCTTCTGGATTCACATCCAGAACCTCACCCGCTTCTTTGTCTAGGCGCTCTGTTGTTTCCTTTGTTCGATATGCCATTGGAACATTCAGAATCCTCATCCACAAGCTGATGGTGTTGAAACATACTTCCAAAACCAACATCTCATCAGATTGATTTTGAAGAAGCAGAGGATACTCTTTGATTGTCCATGGTTCCTCTTTCAAAATTTTTTTCAAATCTTTTTCCCTAGAAAATGAAATCCACAGAATACCATCACTTGCCCTCTCCATTTTCATTTCACCCTTGATCCACCACCACGTACTCCTGATTTGGTCAAGGGCTCCTGCCACATTCATGGGTTTATCAGCTAGCACCTTTGCATACAATCCAACCTTCTCTCTTCAACCACATCTATACCTGCCGTTGCAATAACACTCCACCCAGATATTATTCTTGAATCTCCTCCGCTCATGCCAGCCCCGAGCTCACAATCCTTCTCTGAGCCCATTGTTCCCTCTCAGAACCAGTCGCTGCCTCGCACAGTTCTCTCAAAACCAACCATCTCAACTCTCAATTGTAAGTTCTCTGGTTGTTTGTATGAGAAAATTGGGATTGAATTCCACCTTCCCAGAGTTTGGGCGAGTCATGGGTTCTACTATTGGTTGTAACGCAACCATGGCTTCATGGTTTCATAATTCTCTGATTTGACTTGGCAGTGGAACAGTCAAAGTTGCTATTCTTGTCTTTCAACTTTCAAGTGAAGACACTTTGTTGCAAAATTTTGAGATTTAAATAGCAACCCCTACTATATATATATTGAAAATCAAACTTGCAACCAAAAAAATTGAAGTCCATTCAATTAGAATAAAACCTAGAGTGAATAAAAACAATAATGGAGATTCTAGCTATAAAAGAGGATGAGTAGAACTAGGTAACGTTTGATAATACTTTTCAGATATCTAAAGTCTGAAATATCTGCTTTTTAGACACAATGTTTGTTTGGTGTTGCATTTGAAATATCATCTGATTTTTTTTTCAGATCTGTAATTGTAAGACCCAGGCTCGTCACTTAATGCATTCAGACGCATTTCAAGCGTGGCCTAAAGTCAAAAATACCCCTACCCCATTCTCTCCCTCTCTCTCTCTCTCCCTTTCTAATTATTAATTATTTTATTTTTTATTAAGCATTAATTATTTTAGGGAAATTGTCTAAAAATCACCATGAGTTTTCAGCATTTCTCTTAAACTCACCACAACTTTTCAAAATGTCTAAAACTCACCATGTTACTAACTTGACGTTAAACAAACTAACAGGTGTTAATATATTACCATTTTAACCTTTATAAAAAAAATAAAATATATACAAAATAAATTAACAGGTGTTAATATATTACCATTTTAATATTTAGATATGAAAAAATGAAAAAGTTCAAAAAAATATTTTTAAATATAAAATACATAAAAACATAGAAATTACAAAAAATATAAAAAACTATAAAAATTGCAGACAAAATAAAAAATTATTTTCAAATTATAGAAACTATAGAAAATGAAAAACAAAACCAGAAAATAAAAAATTGTATAAAAAACACCAAAATTTATAGAAAAACATAGAAATTGCAAATAAATAACAAAAAATACAGGAAATTTTATAGATTATAGAAAACAGAAAAATGTAAAAAAAAATAGAAATTATAAAAAAGAACATTGGAAATTAAAACAAAACACTAAAAAAAGCAAAAAAAAACAAGAAAAATTAAAAACTGAAACAGACCATTTTTCCTCTAACTCACCATTCAAGGGTAATTTGGTCGTGAAAATTGTTATTATGCTGACATGGACACCTCTGTTAAGAAGCATTAACGATGCACTAACGGAAGGTAAGTTTTGGAAAATAAAAACTTATTGACATGGTGAGTTTTAGACATTTTGAAAAGTTGTGGTGAGTTTAAGAGAAACGTTAAAAACTCATGGTGAGTTTTAGACAATTTCCCATTATTTTAATATTTTTATAGGCATTCATTATTTTTTAAATTTTAATTATTTCATTTATTAATTAGTAATTTTTAATTATTAATTTATTATTTTTTATTTGTATTAATTCAATATTGTTTTGAAGTTGAAAATTATTTTTATGAGATAAATGTGAATTGAACTCAACATTTCCAAATAGTATGTTATAAGGGTAAAATAATAAAATCAGTGAATTTCATATGGTAAAAGGTTGATTCAACACAAGCAAACTTACTGATTCAGAGCCTCAAAAAAGTAGAAAAGAGCCTACGCTTCTTTTCAAATTTCAGATTTATCAAATGCCACCTAACTTTGTATTTTGTATTATTTTGAATTATTTGTATTGTACATTTTGTATTCCCTTCCAAGCCTAAGATTTCACTTTATGATGTGGAGTAGTTGTGAAAAACTCTCTGTTTTTTTTTTTTTTTTTGTGCTTGTGACCTTGTGTATGCTGTAATTGGTTTAGGTCGACACCTCTCTCCTCCATCTCTTTAGATTTCAAATGCAATAATAAGCATGACAAGGATAAAAGTGTTAATGTTCATGTTCTCCTTCGTTGCAGGCTAATCAAACCTGATCTTTCCTTGAATTTCTAGTTAATGGAAGAAATTTTTTGAATTTCAGACTATAATGACTTCTTCACTCGACATCAAATTGGGATTCTTACCAGAAACCCAACTATTCAATCATCTTTTGGACCTGTATTCCAAGTGCTCGGAATTCGTATCTGTTCAGAAAATCTTTGATGAAATGCTAGAGAGAAATCTGATATCTTCTTCCACCTTGATCTCTGGATATTCCCAATCTAATACACCTCAGTTGGCCTTGAATCCTGTACCGTTTTTGCAGAAAAAAGGGTTTAACTTAAACCAATTTGTTTTTTCAAGTTTGATTCTAGTGTGTTCAAAACTGAAATGAGCTTGATTCTTACCGTCTTGCTGAGCTTTTTCAAACCCAACCGAAAAGTTTCGTTAGTTGGGTTTTATTCCTTGAACTGCCATTAGGTGCATCCAAACAAATTTTTTATCAAATTAGATTTTATTTTAAAATTTTAAGAAATAATGGAGGATAAATTTAACATTTTATTTTTTTCTATTAGTGCTTAATGGCAATACCAATTGTTAAAAATAGAGTTGTCAATAAGAATACTTTAAAAAATTTGCCCTTTATTTTATTCATAAATAATTCAAATCGATCGACAACAAAATAGCTGTCGCTTTTGTTGAACAATAGTTTAATAATAGAATATAGACCTAATTATTAAAAAAGAAAGGAAAAATAGAGCCATGATTTCGAAATTAACCACTACATACATAATTAATGGTTGGTTTATGTACACATTCAATTGGTTTTTTTTGTCGTGTTCATCATAAGACCTAAACCGTGGCTGACGCTCCTCCTGAATAGACTTTAGGCTCAATAATTTTTTTTTTCAAGACTCAAATTATATACTATAAGCAAATATCTATACTTACTCTCCATATATATATATATATATATACAACGTTATCTGTCAAACTCAAAGCCATTGTAGCCTATTTTTAATTCACAGCTTCGATTTAGCAACTCGACTAAATTAGTTTGGAGACTAACTGTTAAATAATTGTTTTCATTCATCAGTGTTGTGCTATTTGTTTTATTATTAGTTTAGTTGCAGCTAATTAATGGAATAAATAAAAACGAATGGAGCCTCTGCCTCACCGACATTCTAAGAAACCAATTTATTTTAGGGTAAAATAGAAAAAACCTCCCTCAAAATTTTTTACAATCATAAAAAATGTCTCTTTATTTTTGAAAAACTTGACAAAAACCTCCCTTTTGTCAATGACTAAGATGAAAAACGTTAAACTGATGATTAATTTTTTTTCTACATATCTATTTTACCCTTTTATAAATTAATTGTTTTTTTGTTTTTGTTAAAACACCCCTGTCGAGATATATTATACCTTTTTACCCTCTTTTATTATCCCAGTTTCTATTTTTCTAGCTTGGAGGAACGAACAAACAAGGGTTTTGAGGAACACAGCATAAGCCTCTTTATACTTTTCATTTTTATTTTTTTTTTTCTTTGCCTATTTTTCTCCCTCTTTCAAATATATTCAACCAAAGTGAGTGAACACAGCACAAGCCGACTTCTTATTCTTCCTCTTTCGGTCATTATTTTGACACTGATCTTTTGTTCATTGTTTTAACAGTATTTTAGTGCATACAGGTTTTAGTCATTATTTTCACGGTTCATTGTTTTAACAGTATTTTAATGCACACAGGTTTCGGTCATTATTTTAACAATATTGCTTCATTTTCATATGTATTCAGCGAGATGGTTTCTCTCTTTTCATTCAAATTCTCAGTAGTATTATTTTGTAGAATTTTAATAGTATTGCTCTATTTGGAGCTTCATTAAATGAGTCACTCGATTGATTAGTCTTGGATTTTTATAGAATTTTAGGGATCTAGAAAGAGGTCAGTTGGTTGTGATGGGTCTTTGATTAATTCACTTTTTGAGCTAAAACCAGTATTGAACTCATCATCGTCTCCTTAAACTCCTTGAGCATCTTCAAAACTTGCCACATCGTGGATCTCTGTTCTGGAGAAGTCTGGCGGCACGTGGTGGCTATCTCAAGAAGCATGGCTAGCAGGTTCTCTTCGCCAGCATCGTCGTCACTGACGGATCTGACCCAAGTAAGCAGATTACCGGATATGAGCAGGGGATGCTGGGGTGGAGGTTTTCCGGTCAGAAATTCTAGTAAGAGGACGCCGAAGGAGTAGACATCGGATTTGGAGGTGGCTCGATGAGTGGACTTGAAGGCGTTAGAGTCAAGGGTTTCATCATATTGGAGGTATTGGCGAGCACGACAAGGTAGTAATCGGTGAGACAAGCCTCCAAGTCGGGACCCATAAGTTACATTGGAGGACTTGAGGTTGCCGTGAACAAGCCTGGATAGTGGATGCTTGATGTATATACCACGTCCTCTCCTATTTTCAAGCATGAAGTCCAGTGGAGTGGAGTGGAGTGGAGTGGTCTGGCCCGTGTTGATCTCCAACCTGTGACATTATTTATTGGGGTAAAATACAAAAGGGTATAATGGGTGTTTGAAAAATAAATAAATTTTTGTATTTTACCCTAATAAAATAATAGAATAAGAAATTATGCAAATAATATGTGTATTTTAGACATATAAAAGCTTAAATCATTTGTTAAAATTAGGATATAAATAAGAAACAAAGATAGAATAGGAAACCGTTTAAAAAACAAAGGTATTTTAAAATATATATATATATATATATATAATAGTTTGAACATTGACCTATTAATGCATTAATGGGTTATAAGGATAAGATGGAAATTTGCCTAAATAAAAGGAGTATCATAGGTATACCAACGTCTGAACCAATGGCAAACATATTATAGAAAAATAAATGAAGAAAGAAGGATATTTATTTATTTTAATAAATTAATTAGCGGAGGATCCTGCGTTGTAGGGGCTTGTAAAAGTTAAATTATTGTATAGGAAAAATGAATTTGCAAAAGGTAAATTTTTTTAATTAATAATTTTTAGGAAAAATGATCTACTTAAAATAAGTATAAATTTATAGATAATAATATATTTAATTTAATAAAATAAAATAATAAATAAATAAATAAAATTTTCAATTTTAAAGTCAATCTAATATAAATAAATCAATTTTGTTGTTAAATAAAGAATACAAATCTTTTTTTCTCAATTTCCTGGCTAGGCTTTGGGCTTTATATGGAGGTCAAGCTTAGGCTCAAGATCTAGGCCCAATAATCTAGTCATGTTCAAGCTTGGGCTTGAATATGTTCTGTTGATATAAAGGCAAAGCCGAGCGTGGCCTATGAATAGGTTTAGTCCCGACCCAGGGTGGAGGCAAGGGGACACCAAGGAGCCATGGCCCCCCTATGGTCCAACAAATCCCCACTCTTCATCTATATTTTCCCACTCCCCACCCCAATGTTTGCCCCCCAATGACCATCCATATTTATTCCCCTACCCCCTAATCCACTTAGATTTGGCACCCCTCATAAAAAATTCCTAACTCTACTCTTGCCCAACCCAGACCTAACCTATTGATAGCCCTAAATTACCCCCCCCCCCCCCAATCCACTTAGATTTTAGCCCCCTCATAAAAAATCCCTAGCTCCGACCTTGCCCAATGCAGACCTAACCTATTGATAGCCATAAATTATTAGGCTCGGGGAGAAAGAGAAATAATTTGTTAGTAAAATACATTATTAACTAATTGAATAATTTATTAAATTAAATAAATAAAAATCTATGGATAATAATTTACTTAATTTTGTAAAATAAATAAATCAATTATTTATTGTAATAAAATAAATAAGTAGCTATTCATTTATTATTGGGACATGACTGGTCCAAGTTATCTAGAACCAAACTCGACCCATTGACAACCCTAAATATTGGGCACATGTTGAATTCAATAAATAAAAATTATAGATAATATATTTAATAAAATAAAATAAAACAATAAATAATTAATTAAGTTTTCACTTTTGAAGTCAATTTAATATAAATAAATCAATTTTATTGTTAAATAAAGAATACAAATCTTTTTTCTCAAATGTAAATAATTGTAATTGTAAATAAAGTATACAAATCAATTTTATTTTGTAGGTTGGCATAATTGTAAATAGTTATATATGGCATTGTTGTAATTTTTGAATATCATATACATTGCAATAAAGAAAGTAAATTTGTCTTATATGTGGCATTCCTGTAATTTTTGAATGCCTTAGAATCAATTAAATTTGAAGATTTGTCTTGTATGTGGTAGTCTTATAATTTTCAAATACCATAGAGACAATTACAAATTTGAAGGTTTATCTTATATTGTGATAGTCATGTAATTTTCGAATAACATAGGGGAAATTATAAATCAATCACATAAGGGGGTTTGTCTTTAAGTGGCATTCTTGTAAATTCTAAGGGAAAAAAAAGCAAAAGTTACTATTACATTCCATTTCTTGCATTCTCATTTTTTCTTCCTACACATTTCAACTTAGCATATGTATATAGATATATTATAAGAATAAAATGAAATTTTGTGTAAATAAAAATTAAAGAGTATTATAGGTAACAAAAGTTGGACGAAAGGGAATGGGAGTAAATCTTTTATATGTAGAGATAAAAAAAAAAAAATTAAAGTTTGATATAGAGCATTTTAAAAGTATTCAGCTGCTCAGTATTAATAATGTAGCTTAATGACCTGTTTCCAGGACATCCCAATTATATGTGTATTTTATTTGAAAATTGAGGGTTGGGAGCACGTGTGATTGGTGTGAAAAGTTCTTGGTGAGGGAATCACATCTTAAAGGGACTAAGCCACATGCGTCATTGAACAACTTCATAGATGCATTTTAAAGAAAAGTTTTGAAGTTCACGCTAGATCAGTTAGTAAAATAATTTAATAGGTTCAAAATATATAAATACATCGTTTTTCAGGGTCACTGATAAAGCCATATATTAAGAGTTAGTTGGATTTAAACGATGTAGATGATAGGATATGATGTGGCAATCAACATGTATTGAGAATATCAATACTTTTAACCTATCCCTTGAATAAATTAAATTTTCCTTTAAACTGTGATGAACAAACATGTGAAAAAAGGTGGTTTAACTTTTAAGCATTATTTAATGTCCAAAACACTTTAAGGCCCAAAGACAGACTAAAATATTGGACCATTGGGCTTTGGAGTTTTAAAAACACAAGTCCTGAAGCCTACAATGAAAGAGCATCTTCAATTCATTACAAGGAATCAAGATGATCAACTATGTGTGAAATCTGGATCATAGCATAGGTGTTGAAAAAGAATAGAGATTTATTTGCACTGTTGCAAAACTATGGTAGTGTAAATGACTTGGGTATAAATCTTGTTTTATTTTTATTTCAAACTCTACCTTATTTTGTTTGATTGTTGCAGTGTAAAGGAAGTAAATTGAGACAGAATTAACCAGAATAAAGTAAAGCCCAAAACAAAAATTAATCAGAATTTTCATTCCTTACATTTGTACTAGTACAAATAAAATAGCACTGCATCCAAACGCAGCCTAAGGAGGGATAGTGAAACTTAGGTCCCTAAATTCTTACTTGCAATATAGAGCTACAATGTATTATTAAATTCCATCACTAGCATTCTATCAGCATAAAACTAACTTTTTAGGAGACCATTTTCCCTCTCTTTTATTGTTAGTGAGAACGAACCAACAACAGTAGATTGTTGGAGAACTTCAAAACTTGTATTTTGAAGACACAATAAAGGAAAGGGAAAAAATTGGTCTGATAAATGTACTAAACTAAAGGAATGTTAACGACAAGAGCAAAGTGTGGGAACCTAAAATTATAGAGTAGCTTTCTGTTGCAAATGGAAGCTCCAGGACCAAATGTCACCACCCTCAATGTATAATATGGTTCTCTCTATTTTACCCAAAACTAATAAACCATCTTATTTAAGGTCTTGATCACCTTTGACCAGAAGTATATGATAGGAAAGCAAGTAGGGTTGCTCTCTCTAGTAGGAAGTGAACAAATCAGATTGGATTCGGATAGGGGTATATCTCAATCTGATCCAATAATGTAAATCCTACATCCAAATCCAATCTGATTTGATGATTTGACAGATCTCACAAAGATCAATTTGAATTTGAATCCCATAAGCATATTGGATATCTGAATCTGATTTGATGGGATTTGCTTACCCATAAGTATGTAAAGTTTAACAAATTTTTAACAGGAAAAAAAAAGAAATAATTAAAATGGTCTAAAAAACAAAAAACACAAACATTTCGTCAACCATATATATAGATAGGAGGTAATTCAAATTCAATCTGATTTTCAGAATGATTCTATTTTCAATTCCATCTGATTAAAAAAAATCTAACAAGAGGATACCCGAATTCAACCAAATAGGAACAAATTCAAATTCGGATTTGAATGGACCATTTGCACCCCTACTCTTTAGTTGAATTACAGATTTTTTTAAGGCTGTGTTTGGATGGGGTGTAAAACCCGGTTCGGTGTATTTTTACATTCCAGTCCTATTTTGCGGCCATTTGGATGGGGTGTAAAAATGCACCAAAAATCGGTGTAAAAGTGATTTTCGATTTTTTTTACTTCGATTACCGATGTATTTTATACATCGATATTTTCGATGTAAAACTCCATCGAACTAAATAAGGTGTAAAAACTCTGAATCAACCAACGAATCTTCGTCCCCTCTAATCCTCTCTCTCATCGTCGAGCACTTCGCTAGCACCCTACCACCGTTCTGCTGGTCACCCCTTCTCTTCCACTCCCTCCCTCTCTCTCGCTCTTTCTCTTCTTTTCTCATCGTCTTTCACAGATCCGAATGCCCTAATCTTAGAACACAGAGGATGCTCTTAGGCAGTCATCATCCCCATCTCACAATGAACAAAAGGTACCAGATCTAGAGCTCGCCACATCGCGGCCCTGTTCATGACTACAACAATTACCAAGTGGTTCTACTCGCATCATTCCTGCAACTCAAATGGGAATGGTACCTTATACACATCGGAACATTCAAATTCAAAACCCTAGCTCTGGCTCCACCACCACCAACATTCTTGCTCTGTCAACTCTCTAATCCTTCCTTCTTTACCCCCTTATCGGCATTCCAAGCCAGAGGCTTGGAGCTTCTTGCGTCGAGCCTCCACGCCGTACTTTCCAAACTGGGCAACTCCTCCCCACATGGATTCCACCTCGACTAGGACTACTTGGCCATTTTCGAAACTTGTACTCACCAACTGAGTTACTGCGTAAACAAGAGAAGCTACTAACCATCCGAGAAGCTGCCCCTCAGCGGCCATCTTTGGTTGGTTGCCGCTACTCCCAGCCGAACGGCTCCAAGAGAATGGCCATACATTGATGTGGAGCTCAGTTGTGTTCGTGCCACTGCTACTTTTCCTTTCTTTCTTCTTGTCTTTGTCTCTGTCTTCATGATTGTTGGTGGTTGTAGAGGATGTCACGGCTGTCCTTTCCATACAACCTTCTTGAAAATGTGCCCCCATCGCTTGAATGTTGAAAATACAAGCGGTGACTCGGATAACAAAGTTGTTGACTCTGGTCTTGGCCCAGGCTCTAATTCGAGTTCTGGAGTGTGCATCTCCTCTGATTGGCTTTGGGTTCTAAGTCAAGTGGGTCGGAGTGGTGGGAAGGGAGGTGGAGTGGGAGAAAAACTTCATCAAGTGGGAAGGAGGGGTTTCTGACCATCTAGAACTTGAACTCAGGCGAGTTGGAAGCGCTACTCCTCCTTCCACTATTGTTGGGTGAGAAAATTTTGTGGGTTGCAGGTGTTTGACCTTCTAGTTCAATTCTAGGTTTCTCCATGGATGCGATCATCGAGAGTCAGCCAGAAAGGAAGAGAAAGTGTGTGTGAAAGGGGAGAGGAGGGAAGTGGGGAGTAGTTTTGTTGTATAGAGGTGGGTGGTGTGAAGTTTCTTTCTTTCCTCGGGAGTCAGCACATGGTTCCGTGCAGTAGTTCTCATGTAGGCTTTTATTCCAAAATAGTTGAATTTGACATTAATAGGCATTTTTAATTCTGGGTGTAGTTTTACACCCATGTTAATTCCAAACACACATAAAAATTGCTAAGAAGCTTCTGGAGTCGATTACGTGACACTTTGGTTCATGGGCCCCGAACTGCCTTAGGTGTCGAGGTGCCTCTATACCGAGGTGACTCTTATGCCAAGGAGACTTTTATGTAGAGGTGGATTTGAGCTGAGGTGGCTTTGTGCCGAGGTGGGTTTGTACCGAGGTGACCTAGCACCCAAGCTCTGAAAACTATTGACTAGCCTCCTCTCTCTGAGTTGTCATCCTACGGGAAGATCGCATCCACGTGACCTTTACCTACTAGGTCATTCCAAATTATCCCTCATCAATTGCCCCCCAATCCTCGTGCCAGGGGTCCTAACCCGGTGCGGGGAGTTCATGACGATCCCAGGTGAATTTGGCATGAAGTCTAGGTGATATGGAGGGTGGACCGTTGGTCGGACCTGTTCGACCGTTTGGCTCAACCAGGAAGTGATCCAAATCACGTATCAGGTACGCGCGGACGTTAAGTCGATTATAAGCTACGCGGACGTCAAAACGCGCGCTAAACTGATTTCAACCTCAAGTAGCATGCAGCCGATTTTCCTAGGAGTCGTTGGATCATGCAAATCTTGGCCGTTGATCCCCGGATATACCAGTTATAAATAGGGGCCGAAGGGTCCATTTTCTTCACCACAAAACCGCAAATCCAAAGTCCTTAAGGTCATGTTCAAGTATCCCCGCTCAGTGTCAGCTATTCCCGGGTCCGAGGTCATCTTGCTTTCTTCGGTCTTCGTTTTGGTGAGTTTGCCTTCCTTTACTTTCGATTCCATTGTCCTTTCCGTTAGTATGTCTAGTCTTAGCTTAGATAGCCTTCTAGATTGGAGTGGTGAGTCCGCTGGGGCCGAGGTGGGTACCTCGGTATAGACTGCAGAGCCTATATGTTGGTAAGTAGCTTGTTGGGCTGACTTACCGGTTGCTCAGCTCGGGGCCAGAGTGGCCACACACTGTATGGTGCTAGGTATTCTATTCTTCAGGCTGCTTTATACTTAGATTTTCTTGATACTTATACTTGTTTTCTTCTTTTGGCAGGTGAACTCCTCAATCCACGCCCTGGCCTACCAGTTGGAGGTGAACTTAAAGCGAGCTCTCGAAGCCAAGGAATCCTCCTAAAGTGCCCACTCCGAGCTCAACTTAGCTTGCAGCGAGATAAACCAATTGAACAATGATGCGCGAGCTAAGAAGGAGTTACTGACTCTGCTGATGGTGGAGAAGAAAGAGCTCGAAGTGGAGAAGAAGCAACTTGAGGAGCACGAGGTGGCTCTGAAGAGAGAGAACGAGAACCTCGAGGCGTTGGTGATGGAGCGGACTGAGATTCTGCTCCAAGCGATGGAGGATGCCAAGGCTAAGGCTGTCGAGGAGTACAAGTCTTTGGCGGAGTACCGTGAAAAGAGTTGAGGTCGAGACAGCGGCTACCGCAAGGGATTTAAGCTCAGCAGGTGGTTGACCCGGCGTAAATTTCCCCACCTCGACCTCAACACCATCACCACATATAAAATCACCAAGGAAATTGACGTCGAAGCCGCGAAGGACCTGGACTCCGAGGAGGAGTGCGAGGACGACCCTCTCGATGATGAGACAACGGAAAAGGGGGAGGGAGTTGATGCCGCCGAGGACCACATGGAGACAAATCCGTTCGCCGATGCCACTACTGAGGATGAGGAGCCCCGAAGTGACTGATGCCTCTTTTCTTGGACCCCCCCTTTGTAAATACTTGATGTCCCAAGCCTCCGAGCTTGGTTAAACAGTTGTAATCTTTCTTTTCTTTTCTTTTTTTACTATGTACTTGAAGTGCTTCATCAATGGGATATAAGTTTTTTGTAAAACTCTTTGTGTGCAAAATTTTTCTAAGTATAAATTACACCCGAACTGGCGAGCTTGACTCAAATAGGAATAATCTAACCGTTATTGTACACCAGGGTGAGCAGACACTGTAGGGTGTGCATGCCTGACCTGTCTGTACCCGGGCTACTCTGTCTTACCCATGCAAAAGCGACTGGGTTTTAACGAGCACTTGCCTAAGAGGCGACCAGGTTTTTAAGCTGCCTATGCCGAAGAGGCGGACTAGGACTTCTCTACTCGTACCGGAGAGGTGACTGGGTCTTATATTGTGCCGAGGTCTCTTGTCAGCTCGGCACCATAGCCCTTGGGATTCTGGGAGTGACTTAAGGTCCTCTCTCCAGTTCGTCGTCCAAAGGGTCAACTCAAAGATCCTATGGACTTAGTCATTTTGCCTGCGTTGAGGTTTATAGGTACTATCTCCTAAGGTTATTGATGTTCCGGGCTCGAGGTACCTGTTTCCCTTCCATGGTCTCGAGCTCATAGGTTCCTTCTCCAAACACCCGTCTCACCCGGTAAGGACCTTCCCAATTCGGACCGAGCTTATGACCCGGGCGTTATAATACCAAGCTACTCACTACTGGTAAGATGCAGTTCGAATGTGGGCCAGATCGCGTGCCTCTTCGACGAGGTCCAAGTTACTTCTGTGCTCATCATCATTTGTCTCTCATTGTAGGCTTTGAGCCATAACGTTGGTACTTCAATCTCCACCGAGATCACAACTTCCGGTCTTGATGGTAGTCCGGTAGGCCCAGAGGACACTAGGTAGATCGTCTACCCACAACCCTTTAGCTAATGCAAGGTAAGCTTTCAATCCGCAGAGGATAGCCCTATTCGTCACTTTGGCCTGTTCGTTTGCTTGTGGATGCGCTACCGAGGTGAAGTTTTGCTGAATCCCCATCTCGGCACACCAGTTCTAGAATTTGATGTCTTCAAATTGCTTCCCGTTATCCAAAATTAAGACTTTGGCCAGTGCGAAATGGCAAACAATGTTTTTCTAGAAGAAACTTTGCACGTTCTGGGCTGTAATGCTCACCAACGATTCAGCTTCCACCCACTTCGTGAAATAGTCTACTGCCACGACTAAGAACTTCCTCTACCCGGTTATCAGTGGAAAAGGACCGATGATGTCAAACCCCCACTGCGCGAAGGGCCACGAGCTAGTAACATACTTCAAATCAGCAGCAGGTTGATAGAGGATGTTGACGTGTCTTTGACATCTATCGCATTTCTTGACGAGCTCGAGTGTGTCTGCCTTCACTATGGGCCAATAGTAGCCTTGCCTTAATCCCTTTTGGGCGAGGGCTCTACCCCCACAAGTGTCCTCCGCATAAACATTCATGGATATCTCAAAGTACGAGCACAGCTTCTGAGGGTCGCAAGCAACGTAGGTAGGGGAGAGTGAAGGATCTCCTATACAGTCGTCCGTCTATAATGACGTTTCGGATGATTGACGCTTTACCCTCCAAGCTGCATTGCGTTCTGTAGGTAGGGTTCCGTGGAGCAGATAATCAACAAGTGGGTCAATTCAGCTCGGTTCCGCTTGCAACACGGGAACGACCTCCTCTGCCCCCCCGAGGATGTTGGGCCGAGGCAGATCTTCTATGTACACGGTCCGCATAGTGTTGTCGTTTGTACTTGCTAGTCGTGATAAGGCGTCGGCCTCAGCGTTCTCGGACATCGGAATTTTCCTAATGAAACAAGAGCTGAAGCCCGGTAGGATCTCTCTGACTTTGGTTAAGTAGGCTGCCATAGTCGAGTCGCGTGCTTCATAGTCACCATTGACTTGGTTAACCACCAGTTGAGAATTGCTACAGACGATGAGGTGTTTTGTTCCCATTTCCTTCGCTAAGTTTAGCACAGCAATTAGCGCTTCATACTCCGCTTTGTTGTTTGACGCTTCGAATCCTAACCGGAGAGCGTACTCTAACCTCACCTTGCTTGAGTCGTACAATATTATTCCTGCACCGCTTCCTCGCTAGTTGAACGAGTCGTCTACATGGAGGATCCAGGGCTCCTCGTCCCAGGTCGGTACTGCTCTGACCGGGACCGGTGTCGCGCTGGTTAATGCCTCCGACGCATTAGAGGGCTTAGTCAGTTCAGGGGTCGGTGTGCTAAATGTGCATTCTGCTATGAAGTCTGCCAAGACTTAGGCTTTGATTGCTGGTCGTGGCTCGAACCGGATGTCGTATTCGCTAAGCTCGATGAACCACTTCGTCAATCTTCTTGATACCTCGGGCTTAAGTAGGATATGTCTCAAGGGTCTATTAGTAAGAATGACAATGGTATGGGCTTGGAAGTATGGTCGTAGTTTCTAGGTTGCCACTACTAGCGCATATGCCAACTTCTCGATGTTGGGGTACCTGGTTTCCGCATCCTGCAACACTTTACTCACGTAGTAGAAAGGTCGTTGAACCCGATCTACTTCTCTAACTAATACCAAGCTGACCACCTCGTCACTCGTAGAGAGGTACAGCTTCAACGCACCGACTTGCCGATTTAGACATAAATCGGTTTAGGGCAGCTACCCAGCCAATTAGTCGTTATACCTCCTTGATTTTCTGGGGTGGTCGAATTTCTA